GGAGGAGGAGGAGGAGGAGGAGAAGGAGGAGGAGGAGGACAAATCACTGGGGTAACTTACATCCTTCTGGATGAGCTCAGCATAAACCACGCAGGCAGCGGAGATCAGCTCATCAGCATCAAGGTCAATGAGCTTGTTGCAGGCCTGCGCAGGAGCATGGAAGCTGTTGTGGATGGGGCTGGGGCAAATGTCTCCCTGCACTCTTGGGCACAGGCAGCTGCCTGCAGCACCCAGGGAAGAAGGATGCTGCTCACAGCAGTTGCTGGGGACCACCTGACCTCTCCCCAGCCTGCTTGGCTCAATGCCTAAAATTTGATATTTGGGGGCAATGGTAAATGTTAGCTTTCATGTTAGGCTCTAGGGAGTCCTGGAGTTCCACCAAGTGTCTTAGGGTCTTCGAAGGATGACTTGGTTTATATTTGGGGTGCCACCTAAGATTTGTTTCTTCCAACAAAGACTTCAGTAGCTTTTTTAAAATGATGGAAAACTCTAGGTCCTTCTGCTTCAGGAATATCCCAGGGCCACGGGGTTGACTGCGAGATGGTAGAGCTTAATGGTTAGGGAGTGTTCAAGGCCTCCGTTTCCTCATATGTTAACTACGAGTGATGACGATGGTTATAGCCTCTCTGTGTCAGGCTTGTGGTGAGGCTTAAATGAGCTAGTCTATTAAAAGCCCTTGGCACAGTAATCCATACCTTAGCTCTCATTGCCCTTCCTGCCTGGGGGGAAAAGGTGGCACTGGTGCCCAGCACCCCATGAGCCCCGGTCTTGCAGCTGGAGTGGGGTGTCAGGGCCTCCAGGAGCTGGGCTGGTGGCTTGCCCGAGGGTGCTCTCACCAGGAGGATGTCGTCCCCGCCCATGCTTTCCTGCAGCACCTGCTCCCGCACCATCTGTAGCATGCTGTAGGCCACCAGCACCTGGAAGTTCCTGCAGGGCTTCCCCGTCAGCAGAACCTGTGGGTCAGGGCGTCTCAGTCTGGGCCCCGTAGCCTGAGACTGCAGATGCCCTGAGGATGGTGAGGTACCCACCAACCACGTGCCCGGGATCAGCCATTCCTGGGTCTTGCTGCTGACTTGCTCATTCATTCATTCCTTCCTTCATTCACTCACTCATCCATTCACTCAGGCATGTGCTCACAGGTACCCCTGACTCTAGGCATTGTGCTGTCTTCTGGGGGATTCAGAGATTGAGGCTTCAGGGAATTCATTGGATAGAGGAAGGGGAGGGAGGCAATGAGGGGTGGGAGACACTAGGAAACTGTCGAATTTGAGTGAGGTTTTGGCAAGCAAGGGTTGATGGGAATTAAATGACACAAGGGTGTCACCAAAGGCCTGGGTGTAGTCATGGACTTGGGCATGGAGACCAGCCAACCAAGAGGGAGGGACAGGCAGGTGGGAATAGATCTGTGGGACCCTACATGTCAGGTGGATGGTTGGGCTGGACTCTGCAGGCAGCAGCGGCCATGGGAGGGCAGTGATGGGTGGGCGTGGCATTCCTCAGGGGGTTCATCTGCTGATGGCTCTGGGTATTGTGATCACAGGACTACAGGTGTCCTTGGGGACCCACCTTCTGTGAGAGAGTTCCACAGGAGCAGCACTCTGGGGAAGGGGAAGGCCAGGGCTGGGGGGACAGCTGGGGAAGTGGAAGCGTGGGGAGGCCACCTGGGCAGGGAAGCAGGGAAGTGGAGCTGCAGGCCCAGGCTCCCACCGCACAGGCCAGAGGGCCCTCCTGTGTCGACTGCCCACAGAAGGCACAGCCAGTGAGGCCTTTGTGTTAAATGAACATATGGACAAAGTGATGCTCCAGCTTGCTCCAGCAAGATGGGAGCAGGGTTGCTGACCCAACAAAACCCCAAGATACTGAACTCTATCCAAGCCAGAAGGAAAGGGAGACGCAAGGAAGACTTGCAGCTTCCACTCTGCCCGAGGGGTGGAGCCCAGCCTGATGATCCCCAGTTGGGCACCTCACCTCCCAGAGCCTCCAGACGTCATCGAAGGACTTGAAGGCACGCTGGAAGCAGAAGCAGAACCAGGGGAAGAGAGACTGCACAGCTCCTGCACCCTTCCCTTCTGTGGGGAGAGAAGCCGAGGCTGTAGTCAGGGAAAACACACATGATGCAGCAAACACATGCAGATGAGGCCAAACTATGGAGCCTGCAAAACACTTGGGAAATACAAAAAGCTTGCTGCCCTTTTTCCAGCTGCCCTAGGAGATGGTTTAGAGTCAACTTTCAACTGTCCAGACTCCAACCCCATCCAGATAACCCTCTTCCCAGGGCCTGGAGAGGCAATCAAATGACTCTGCTGCTCTCCAGCCCCCCATGATTAGGGACGACAGTTGGGTCCCAGCCCCTCTCCCATGCCTACCCTGGGGGGTGGGTGAGGTGGCAGGAGGTGAAAGCCACTCACTTAGGTGCTCAGCAAACATGGGGTCCAGGAAGGTGATCAGGGTGCTGAGCATGTCTAGGTTCTTGCTCACGCCAATGTTGATGACACAGCTGTGTTCCTGCACACGACGGTGGGAGACAGACCGAGTCCTCCTTGGCCTCAGGGCACTGTAAGAGTCAACTCTGCTTCCCCCAGCTTCACTTCTGGAGGCTCTGTGTGTCTATCTGTGAGCTGGGCCCCCATGTCTCTACAAGTCTCTGTGTGTGTGTGCACATATCTGTGTGACTGTGATCTGTATGCAAGTTTGTCTGTATATGTTGTGCACCTCTGAGTGGCTGTGTAGAGAGAGAGTGTGTGTGTGTGTGTGTGTGTGTGTGTAGTAGAGTTTCTCAACTGCAGTTCACAGTCTAGTGAGCCCGGTTGCCCAGTTCTTCCCTCACACAATAGTGTTGGGGCAGAGCCGACTGGGACAAGGGAAAGGCAGCCAGCACATTTGCAGGGATGGTGGGGTGGAGGGAGGCATGAGGGAGGGTTCTGGGCAGCCTCTCACAGATCATGAGGAAAGGCTTTCCAGGGAGGTGTTCCAGGGAGCTGCACCTTCAAAACCCCTCAACTTGGACTGTGAGGGAGTTCCTGGGAACTACTGAGTTTCCTGGTGTGCCTGGAATTCAGGTTATGTGAAGGGAACAGCCCTGAATAACTGGCTAAGGTTATTGGATTTTGTTCTGGAGGCCACGGGGAGCCATTGAGGAAGGAGAGGTGAGGAGGGAGGAGAGTCGTGCTTGGGGAAGAAAATGCCAGGAGAGGGCGCCATCCCTGGGCCTGGCGGATTCATGCTCTTTCAAGGTTTGTTGAGAGGTGGACCCAGAGCTTTGCTCCATTCCCCTTCTCCACTTCAATGCCTCCCCACCGCCACTACTTTGAACCACTGGGTTTAGCATCACCCTCCCAGGCTCCTCTGAGACCCAGAAGACTGGAGGGAATGGTTGGGGTTGGAGGGAATGGCTGGGGCTGCCAATGCCTGCCCAGCCTCAAGAAGTTGTTTGGGGAGTAGTAGGGGGTGGAGAGGGGCGTCCCTGAGCTCAGGCCTTGCCCTCACCGTTTTCTGCAGGAAGAACTGGAAAAGCCAGAAGGTTTCGTGGTCGTGCTCCACCATCAGCTGGAAGAGCATCACCATCTCATGGAAGCCCTGCTGGTACTCTGTGGCAAAGAGGGGGTTGGGGAGGAGGGGCTGGGTGGGAGGGCCTGGACCCCTGGCTTAGGCTGGGCCAGGTCCCGGGAGGGCATTGACAAGCGGAGGCTGAGGCTCACCTGCCTGCGTGTTGCAGACGTAACTCAGGAGCAGGATCTTCTCTAGCCTCTTCTTGTCGATGAGGACGTTGCCCAGGGGGTCTTTGTCGTAGAGTTTCTGAATGTCACGTGCTAGGTTGGAAGCAAGGGGCAAGGGGTGGCACCAGATCACATCCAGCAGGGCTATGGGTGAGTTTCTTCCCCTACTCCAATGGGCAGGCCCTAGGACATCCTGGAGGGAGAGGGAGCTGTGAAAGGTACATCAGCCCCTGCCAGGCTCAGTTCTTCACCACACCCTGAGCTGTCTGTGTTTCTTCCCACCTCCAACCCTTTGATGAGGCCATACCCTCAGCCAGGAATGTCCTCCCCCACCCTTCCTCTCTGTCCAGTTCAAATCCAACCTCATTCAAAGCCAAAGAAAGGAGAGAGGAAGACCAGGCAGCAGGAACGTCATGCGCCCAGGGAAACATGGTATGGGGCATCTAGGGCCACACAGGAGAGACTGGTGGGGTAGATTAACCAAGGTTCAGCTGGCAAAACTCCAGGCACAAGTCAAAGCAACTCCCAGGATCCTGGAGCCATCCCTCCCTGGAAGTGACTGAGAAGGGGGCAGAGTTGGCTTCAAGCCCTCCCTCTGCCCAGCCCTCTCCACCCCACTTTGCTCACCAATGTTATTGCGAGTCTCTATGAAGTTCCGGTGCAGGTTTTCCAGAAGGGGCTGAATCTTCTCATACATTTGGCATAAGGCCTTGTAGTTCTTCCTGTGAGAACAGAACTAAGGCTGAACAAGGTGGTTTCCCCCTTCTGATAAGTGGAGAACGAGCAGCTGCAGCTACCTGCGATGCTCTCCCTCATCTCAACCTGTGCCACCCTAACTGTCCTCCAACGTGCACCTGGAGTGCAGAATGGAGACGATTTAACCTCCTGGGCTCTGTACTCCAAACACTGTACCTGAATCCTGGCTCTACACCTTAATAACTGGGTGTCCGCCACTGGAGGCAAGCCTTGGGGACATCGTTTTCCATCTCTAAGCCTCAGTTTCCCTATCTGTAGAATGGGCATAATACTGGCACCTGTGCCTAAGAATTGGAAGTGCTGAGTGAGGCGGTGTTTTGTCCTCATTATTAGAATATGATTAGTTGGTATCGCTGGCTGCATGGTGGCCTCCAAAAAAACATATCCATGTCCTGACCCCTAGGACCTGTGAATGTAACCATATGGGGAAAAGAGTCTTTGTAGATGTGATTAAGCTGAGAATTTCCAGATGAGATCCTTAACTTAAGACTTTCCAGGTGGACCCCAAATCCAATGACATGTGTTCTTATAACACACAGAGAGGAGAAGGCCTCACGACCACGGGGACAGGGAATGGAGTGAGGCACACCAGCCGAGGAACACTGGGAGCCACCAGAAGCTGGGAGGTAAGGAAGGGTTCTACCCTAGAGCCTTTGGAAGGAGCCAACACCTTGATTTTGGGCTTGCAGCTCCAGAACTGTGAGAGGACAGGTTTCTGTTGTCGGAAGTCACCCAGCGTGTGGTACTTGCTAAGGCAGCCTCAGGAAACCAACACAGGTGGGCTCTTGTCAGAGCTCCCGAGCCTCTCTGAGCTCCCCAACCCGGCCCTCACACCCCCGTCCCACCCTCGGTCACTCTGGCTGGCCCCGGCGTGTGAATCTTTTCCACATCCTGTCTGGATGCTCCCTTGAGGCTGGGCCTAGCTCCTGCTTCAGGCTCCCAGACCTGTGAGTCCACCTCAGGCTACACCGTGATGCAGCCACAATCCAAAGGAGTCCGTTCCTCTGATGGGAAGATATTCAGCAGTGGAGTCAGTCTGACTCAGCCAGTGTGTACGGAGACCTCCCACGGACAGACAAGGTCAGGAGAGGGCCCAAGACAAAGGCAAACTGGCGGCAGCCTCTGCCCTTATTTGCATTCAACCTGGGAGGGAAGACACAGGCTCCAGTCTCACTACTGTGGCACCAAGTGCCCAGGGTCGTAGAAGTGCAAGTCAAGGGCCTCTGACTTGAGGGAGGGAGCATTCCTGTCAAAATCATAAAAGCTATTCATTCCTCCCCTGTGCAAGGTGCCTTACCTGTATTATCTGATTCAGCCCCCACAACCACTCTGTGAAATAAACTGTAACCCGAATTTTATGAAGGAGGAGGCTGAGACTTCAGCACTGAAGTTCTTGGGCAAGTTCACCCAGCATGTAAATCAGAGTGCTGAAATTTGAACCCAGTTTCCAAATCCAAGACGGTCCAAATTCACAGCTAGTGTGTTGTCTACTGAACCAAAGTGCCTCATCCCTGGCTCCCTTGGGAGATCTGGGAGGGCTGCTTGGAGGAGGTGCACTGTGGGATATGGGCCTTGAAGGAAGGGTGGGCTTTTGATAGGCGAATGATAGAAATCCATTGTGGAGGAAAGAGAAAGGGTGAACCAAGGACAGAGAGGAGTGCAAATGTGGTCTGTGCTGGGGCAGGGGTGGGGCAGGGGCGGGCAAATGAGGAGTCAGTGAGGCTGTCAGTGTGGTTGGAATGTCAGGCTCTGGGATAGTGGGCGATGTGGAGCTCGGATCAGTAAGTTTTTGGAAGAGATGTGCTATTTGAAACGTTACCAATTATACCACTGGGAGTGTTTCATCTAAGGACACAGGCAGCCCATACTGGGTTTTGTACCTTCCCCCTGGGCACTGGGAGGAAACACTGGACACAGGCGGGGAGTGGGGAGACTAGACCCAGGAGGCAGCTCAGCCACAGGGGGCAGGGAGGAGGTGGAGTTGGGGTGGCACCCAGGGAAGTGGGCGGCAGACTGTGTTCAAAGGCTGCTTCAGAGGGGGAATGCATAGACCCTAGGGAAGGATGGGACTTGGGGGCCCAGGGGTGGGAGGAGTGGCTGGCAAGCCCATGCCTGGCAGTTGGTAGGCTGGTAAATGGAGCTCAGGGAGAGAAGGCACTGGCATGAACTGGCCGCACCTCCTGTGTGCTGTGCCTGGGTCAGGAGGCGTGGGGTTCCTCTTGGAATGAGAAGTTGCATGGGGGCAGAAGACAGTCTGCAGGCTGGGGAGGCAGCACCTGCCACCTGCAGGCCCCCCTCCCATCCCAACAGGGTCTGGAGTGTTCTACCTCCTCATGCTGTCCACCGTGAGCCGCTCATCCTGGGAACTCTGCCATGAGAAGTAGCCCGTGAGGAACTTCCAGGCTTCAGTCCTCACGAAGGGGTGCAGACCCTGGGGTGGGGGTGGGAGTTAGGGGTCATGGGCTCTTCGATGCCTACCGAAAGGGCCTCATCCAACGCCACACCTGCCCCCTGCCCGTCCATGCTCCCAGTTCCAGGGCAAGGCCAAGGGTAGCTTGGGGACCCACCCTTTCCAGGATGTTAACACAAATGAAGTCCCGTGACTTGGCCAAGTGGCCGTTCTCATCAAAGAAGCTGTCCCATTCTGTCTTGTCAATGGGTGGTTTTCTCTTCACCTGGCAAAAGCAGCAACCAGTTCCACCTTATGTTAGGAGCCTTCAGGTTTTAAGTGTGATTTTAAATAATACATTCTGGACTTTGCAATATGAATCAAAGCACACAGCCTGACTTACTTCTGGAAATCTATCTTGAGTACATTACTGAAAATATACAGAAAAAATCCTGTATGCACAATATAACTTTCATTGCACATTACTTACCAACATGAAAAATGCAAGCACTCTAAATGTTCTGCAATAAGGGGGTAGTTAAGTAAACTGTGGTTTATGTGCTCAATGGAATATTTTGAGGCATATAAATGTTGTTTACAAGGAATGAATAATAATCTGAAAAAATACAAATGTTAACAGAAAAAAGCAGAATACAGAATTGTGTATCTAGCATTTTCTCTATGTGCTATACTCTGTAGTACAACTATGGCACTCATAGTAATACCTCTCTATGTATTGTGTCTGTTATCTATTATAATAACACCCCGCATAAACTCTAATATATAATGCATTGACTACTATAAAGTTGTTAGAAAAAGACTGAAAAAAATACAAAAAAAGTCCCCCCCACAACTAAAAACAGCAGTGATTATCTTTGAGTGATAGGAAATAAGTACTTTTTATCCTTTTTCTTGTTTTTTTTTTTTCTTTCTTTCTTTTTTTTTTTTTTTTTTTGAGACAGTCTCACTCTGTTGCCAGGCTGAAGTGCAGCGGTGTGGTCTCGGGTCACTGCAACTTCCGCCTCCCGGGTTCAAACGATTCTCCTGCCTCAGCTTCCTGAGTAGCTGGGACTACAGGCACACGCCACCATACCCAGCTAATTTTTGTATTTTTAGTAGAGAGGGTGTTTCACCATGTTGGCCAGGATGGTCTTGATCTCTTGGCCTCAGGTAATCCACCTACCTCAGCCTCCCGAAGTGCTGGGATTACAGGCATTAGCCACCGCACCTGGCCTTTCTTGTACTTTTAAAATTTTATATAATAATGTATACTGCTTTGATCATAGGAAAATATAAAATAAGCATTAATTAGACACAGTTATGAGCTCCACTTTACCTTTCCTGGAAATGTAAAATGGTTCATTATGAGGGATGGTTTCTGCTTTTGATAAGGGAGTGTGTGTGTATGTGTGTGTGTGTTGTATATATCTGTGTGCTATGTGTATGTGGATGTGTGTGTGTGTGTGTATGTGCTGGAGAGAGGTGAGTGCACTGTATGCAAAGTAATTCAAAATGCTTATAAAACAATAACTAGGGTCAGGTGCAGTGGCTCATGCATATAATCCCAGCACTTTGGGAGGCCAAGGCAGGTGAATCACGTGAGGTCAGTTCAAGACCAGCCTGGGCAACATGGTGAAACCCTGTCTCTACTAAAAATACAAAAACTAGCCAGGCATGGTGGTGCATGCCTGTAATCCTAGCTCCTCGGGAGGCTGAGGCAGGAGAATTAAGTGAACCCAATAGGCAGAGGTTACAGTGAGCTGAGATCATACCACTGCACTCCAGACTGGGCAACAGAGCACATAATAATAATAATGTCTCTAATAATAATAACAATAACAACAACAACGACAACAAAACAACTAGGAGTGAGGGTTCCTGTTGGAATAAGAGAAGATTCCTTTCTTCCTGGGGTATTCCCTTCTACTGGCGAGAAGAGTATCTTGAAATGCCACATCGCAGACATAAAGATGTGCTGATGGACAGAGCTGAGGAGACAGGTAAATATACACACTCCCAACTTCCCATTAGTATACATCTGAATATGTGACTCAAAATTAAATTTGCATACAAATCACTTAAGTATCTTCTGCAGGTTCAGGTTCTGATTCAGAGGGTTTGGGGTGGGGCCCAAGATGATGTATTTCTAACAAGCTCCTGAGTAACAGGTGATGCTGCTGGTCCACAAACCACATGAGTAGTAAAGTATTAGAAGGTAAAACAGGCAGGGCATGGTGGCTCACGCCTGTAATCCCAGCACTTTGGAAGGCCCAAGTGGGCAGATCACTTGAGGTCAGGAGTTCGAGACCAGTCTGGCCAACATGATAAAACTCCGTATCTACTAAAAAAAATACAAAAATTAGCCAGGTGTGGTGGTGGGGCGCCTGTAATCCCAGCTACTCGGGAGGCTGAAGCAGAAGAATCACTTGAACCTGGGAGGCAGAGGTTGCAGTGAGCCAAGATCGTGGCACTGTACTCCAGCCTGGGTGACAGAGCAAGGCTCCTTCTCAAATAAATAAATACAGAAATAAATGAAGGCAAAGCAGCCTTGTTAACTAAAAATCAGAGCCCACAGGCCCCAAATCGGGATAATTTCCACTAACTGTATGTTTGATGGAAATGGATTGAGAAACACATTCTTTAATAACTCGTGTGTGCCCTGTCATCTGGACCCAAATAGGACATATGGGCCAAGAAGTTACAAATCTCAGTGTGGGCCTAACCCTGGGAAGCAGGGTCTGCCCTGATGTGTTCCGCACCTGCATAGACACTGCCACTCATCAGAGCGAGCTTTCTGCCCCTCTGACTGTCATCATGTTCTCCCAACCTACACTCATTCAGAAACTGCAACACTCAGCATGCGATGTGGCAGGAAGCAGAAGGGAACAGGCAAAGCTGGGCTGTGTCCCGGGATCCTTAACTATAAAAGGAAATGCTTTAACTTTAGAAATGCATTTCCATAAGGATTTTAGTCAATTTGTCCATTTCTATAACAAAGGCAGCTGTGATTCTGGTGGAGACTGCATTGAATCTGTAAGCCAGTTTGGGAGAACTGATGACACTATTGAGTCCTCTGACCCATGAACACAGTATATTTCTCCGTTTATGTAGGTCTTTTAAAATTTCTCTCGGCAGTGTCTTGTAGTTTTCAGTGTCTACGTCATTCATGTATTTTGTCAAATTTATCCGTAAGTATTTTATATTTCAGATGCTACTATAAAAAGCATCATTTTAAAATTAAAATTTCTAATAGAAATACAATGTACTTTTATATATCGATCTTGTATTCCTGCAACCTAGTAAAACTCACTTATTAGTCCTAGTGGTTTTCTTGTGGATTCCATGGGATTTATGACATAGACCAGGGGTCAGCAAATTGTGATCCATGGGTCAAATGTGGCCTCCAATCTGTTTTTCTAAATAAAGTTTGATTAGGACACAGCCACACCCACTCATTCATTTTCATCTGTGGCTGCATTCATGCTATGATGGCAGAGTTGAGTAGCTGCAACAGAGATTGCATGGACACAAAGCCAAAAATTCTATTGTGACCGTTGCAGAAAAAATTTGTCAACTCTGACATAGATGAGCATGTTCATCTGTGAATAAAGGCAGTTTAACTTCTTCCTTTCAAGGATGGATGCCTTTTATTTATGTTTTCTTGTTTTCCCGCACTGGCTAGAACTCAAGTGCAACGTTGAATAAAAGTGATGAGAGAAGACATTCTTGCTTTGTTCCTAATCTTAGAGGAGCGGCATTCAGGCTTTCACAATTCAGTATAATGTGAACTCTAGGCTTCCTACAGATGCCTTTTATCAGGTTGAAGACAGTCCCTTCCCGTTCTATCATACTGAGAGTTTTTAATTAGGAATGGATGTTGGATTTTGTCAAATAGTGTTCTGTACCTATTGAAATGGTCATATGGCTTTTCGTTTTTGAGTTTGTTAGGATGGTAAATTACACTGAATAATTTTGAATGGTAAATAAGCCTTGCATTCCTGGGATGAGCCCCACTTGGTGATGATGTGCTATGCTTTTTATACATTGTTGGATTCTATTTGCTAAAATTTTATTTAGAATTTTTGCATCCATGTTCACAAGAATCATTTGCCTGTGAGTTTCTTTTCTTGTAATATCTCTAATTTTGGTATCAGGGTAATGTTGGCCTCACAGAATGAGTAGGGATGTGTTTCTTTTTTTTTTTTTTTTTTTTTTTTAGTTTTCTGGAAGTGTTTTTATAGAATTGGTATCATTTCTTTTTAAAATATTTGGTAGAACCAGCGAAGTCATCTGGGCTAAAGTTTTCTTTGTGGGAAAGTTTTTAACTACAGATTTCATTTCTTTATTAGATATTAGGATGGAGTCAAAAGAAATTGCTTTATTTTTGACTTTAAACATTAGGAATTTAAAGGAACAGGACATCTTCCTTCTAACTCACTTTAAAAAATAAAAGCAAGCAATACAGGAAACAATAAAGAATTAATAAAAGCATAAAGCATAAAAATGATAGAAATCCAAATAAATTAATTATGAAAATAAATGCATTACATTCTCTTATTAGCTGTAAACATTAAAAAGTAATTGATGATGTGCCAGACACTGTTCTAAGCACTTTATATATATCAACCCATTTAATCTTCACAAGTATCTATGAGGTGGTATAGTTCTTGAACTGTTTTACAGATCAGGGAACTGAAGCCATAGGAGGGTTAATTAGCATATCTGAGACCACACAGAAAGTATCAGAGCTGAAGTTTGAACCCAAAGCTGTTTGATGCAAGAGTCAGAGGACTAACCCTAATGCCATGCTGGGAGTGGGAGGGGCAGTGGGAAGGAATTAAAAGGCAAGGATTTTCCACTCAAATAAAAAATATGTATCTTACGTAAGCTGTGAACAAAAGAAATACCTTAAAATCAAATGTCCTACAATGATTAAAAAATAAACGACGAACAAAGGTATGACAAAATGTCAAACACAATGGAGAGATAATATTGAAATTAAAGTAATATGCACAGCACACCATAACAAAACATACAGCATCAACACAACAAGACAGAAATAATTAGAAACATCACAAGAAGACATCTGTTGAGTATTCAGAGACTTTGCATCTCTAAACCTCTACCTGCAACTATTGGCCATCTGCCTACTTTGCCATGGTTGAATTTGTTTATAAAACGTCACTGCTTCTTCCTTCTAGGAAACTTCATTTGTCTACACCCACCAGTTCCCTGTATCTCTCCAAACCTCAGCAAACTATAGGCCACCCAAAAGACTATCTAAGACACTTACTATTAAGCCAAGGACCAGAACAAGAAGGCTGTTGACCTGTAGAAGGCCAAGGGGGAAATGTCACTTAGAAGCCCCCTGTCTACATACACACTACCTACTTGCCTATGCTAGAAATCAGAGAATGTGTATCTAGGCTCCTTTAACGTGATGGAGATTGTCAGCACAGTGGCTTCTCAAATCAACCTTCATCTTCCCATGTTCCTCTGTTCTTTGCTCAACCAACCTATTAACACCCTTTCCCATACACTGGATATAATGAGCTGGTAATCCAGGAGGGGAACTATGCAGTTTGCGAGGGGCTGGCTACCTCCAGCTCTGCAATGGTGCCTTTCCTAGTCTCCTGGGAAGCATAGTGCTAGATAGAGCAGCTGTGGAAATCTCTCACCTTCAGGGTGTGTCTAGGCAGGTTAAAGCTCTACATCAGCAAATCTGAGGAAGCCTTGGCCATTGTTCCCCTGGGGAAGGGGATCAGAAGTGGGAGCCCTAAGTGGCTCAGCCCCTCTAAAAGTTTCCTGCGCTAGAGGCCTTGGCTTCAGGCATACATCTCCTCTTGCCACTGCATCATTGGGTTAGGGCTTTTCTCCCTTATTTTCAGTAAAATAAGAAAGCTTTTGGAGGACAAGAAAAACTTTTTATGAGGATTTTGATGCCAAGTTTCTCTGAATACTCAGAGCCACAGAGCCTCCAATAAAGCCCAGGGAAGGCCATTGACTTTGCTTAAGGTTCCTTCCCTCCCTCCCTCCCTCCCTCCCTCCCTTCCTTCCTTCCTTCCTTCCTTCTTCCTTCTTTCTTCTTTCTTCTTTCTTTCTTCTTCTTCTTTTTTTTCTGGATGGCGTCTCGCTCTGTCACCCAGGCTGGAGTGTAGTGGCACAATCTCGGCTCACCACAACCCCCACCTCCTTGGTTCAAGAGATTCTCCTGCCTCAGTCTCTTAAGTAACTGGGATTACAGGGCTCACTACCATGCCTGGCTAATTTTTTGTATTTTTTAGTAGAGATAGGGTTTCACCATATTGGCCAGGCTGATCTTGAACTCATGACCTCAGGTGATCCACCCGTTTTGGCCTCCCAAAGTGCTGGGATTACAGGGGTGAGCCATTGCGCCCAGACAAGGTTCTCTTTTCTACTCCAGTTCACCTGAGGACAAGATATACTCCCAACCGTAACAGGGGGTCCCCACTTCAGCAATTATTACCACACCAGGTGTGGAGGGTGTACCATCAGTACAGCACAGTGATGAAGAAAATGGTTTTAAACAGTGGTTCACAAAGCTAATTGTGCATCAGAGTCCCCTGGAGGGATGAGTTACAAAAAACACGGATCTCTGGGCTTCGTCTCAAGTTTCTTGTTCAGAAGATCTGGGGCCCAAGAGTCTGCATTCTTACAAGTTCCCAGTTGGTGCTAATGCTGCAGGTTTGGGTGCCACACGTTGAGAATATTGATTTTTGCACCCCACCTGTCTGGGTCTAAATACAAGTTAAGCCACTTACAAGCTGTGTGACTGTGGGCAAGTGACAAAGTCTCGGTGGCTCCATTTTCTCATTTATAAAAAGAAGACAACAGCATTATTCACCTCATAGAGTTGTGATGAGAATGAATGACTATAAATAAAGCATTTAGAACAGTCATCGTATATAATAAATGCTATGTGACAGTTTATTTTATTAGCCTTCTCTAAGCTCAGAGAAATGAGAAAGATATAAAGAAAATTTAAAGCAAGGCCTGGTGATAATTTGCAATAAAGCAATAACATTTAAAATTCAGGGACGGGGTGTCCATTTTGCATTTTTATGTATCACTCTCTTAATCACTATGATTAATGAGACCTGAGATTGGCTAAAGTTATTGTAATTAGTTATGATTTTGAAAAAATACTGTGTGGAAAATTTTTATGACTGAAGCCGACTTCTAACAAATAGCTGTATCTTGTAAACTGGGTTTAGAACTAGCTACTAACAAAAGCATTACTGCCACCTGGTGGCCGTATACCAAAATTGTTGGCAAAAAGCGCTGATGAAAATCTATCAACATCTTCAGGGACGTGCTTGCAAACCTACACAACTCAATAAAGTTAGAATAGCACATTTGGGGAGAAGGTTTTGCTGGCTTGGAAAGAAGGTGAAAGGGTGCTTGGATATCTCAGTCCTGTTCTTGGGCTGATGGTAAGAGTAAGGTACAACCGCCCTTGCTCCACCTTCTATGTTAGCTCAGGGTTCTAGCTTTTCCCACCCAGCAGGGGAAAATGGTCCCAGTGTCAACCAGAGGCTGGGGAGGGAGGCACTCAGAACTGATGAAGAACACGCACCAGGATGAAGGAGGCTGACTGTCTGGCAGAGAGGCTGTTTTCAGGAGAGAGGGTGGTCATGGCCTCTGCTGTCTTCCAAACAGCCTCTGATCAGAACTCACTTGGAGCTCTAGTGATGCTGAATCAGCAGAGGAATGTGATCTTCCTTTTCGGAGATGGGTTGCATTCCCAGGAGGAACTGGCTGCTCCTGACCTCCCACACTGGAACAGGGCCGGCCAGCGGTGTGTCACAAGGCCCCCGGAACCCTCATCACAATGACCTGGAAGATAGGAGGACCCACCTTTAGAGATGAGACACAAGCAGGAGAGGAGGGATTAAAGCTGCTAGTTAGGGGAAAAAAAAAAAAAAAAGCAAAACTGCAGTACACACAGTGGAGGTTGGATTCAGAGGACCTGGGGATCAGAGTGGACTATGCTGGTCAAGGAAGGCTTCCAGGGAGAGGTGGGTCATGAATCCTTGCTCTCTATCTCAGACTCTTCCTCTGGACTCTCTTAGCTGGGCTCCCTCCCTATTCCATCAGACCAGTGCCCAAAGTTGGAGAATAGCTAGAAACCAGGCTTCAGATGTCTTGGGTACCAGTTACAGATTCAGAATCAGTATGTTAGGGCTGGGGCCTGAGGGGCTGGGGAATGTTTTTGATATGCCTCCTGGGGTGACTCAGATTCAGCACTGGAATGGTAGCTTCTGGGGTGGAGATCAGTTTTACTTAGCTTTTTATCCAGAGCACTCAGGATCGTGCCTGAGTAGCTGAGTTAATGATTTAATTGAATGGGAGAATAAATGAAGCAGTCTTAGACCTCATCTCACTTCCCTCTCTGTATGTATGACAGAGATTTGTGCATGCTCCTTATCATCTCCTACCCTGAGTTCCTTTAGGTCAGGGTCAGTATCAGATTCTTCTGTGGTTCCCTCTCCCGATACCAGTTCTGCCATCAGTTGGCACTTGGTATGTGCTCAATATTTGTTGCATGGATCCAAGGAGTTGGCTCTGCTTGTCTCCAGCATCACTGTTCTCCACCTTAAGCATTGCTTGCTCTTCTACTCAGGTCCCATCTGGCTCTAAAGCATCCTTAGTCATTAGAAGACGACAGTAATTAGACCAACCAAATTGGAATCAGGAGATGGGAACTGGAATTTGGACTCTGACCTCAAATTTGGATGCTCCCCGCTTCTGAGCTACAGATTCCCCAGACATGAAATCAGAATACAGTCAACCTCTGGCTTTCACCTCCTTATTAACATAATGAATCACCATCCATATGGAAGTCTTCTGCGGACACAATTCATTGTCTCATTTACTGTTTCTGTTCTGCTTGCCTGCGGCACTACAGAAGCCCTTTTAAATCAAAATGCCTTATTATCAGCCTCTCTCCACTACCCACTACCCTAGCCCAACCTAGGAGAGAGTTAAGAGCCTCTTCCCTTTTATCTACTGCCCCTAGGTCTTCATGGAGTGGGAGGTGGGCAATGTTGAGTAGGGAAGGTGTGGAGTAAGGATGGGGCCCCTTGCACATTAGGGTGGCTTCATTCTAAGATCTGCAAGAAGTTTCCGAAGCAAATGTTTAGAGCAAGGGACATAGACATCATTTAGAATTATATATGTCTCTATTCTTCCACATTAACCACATAGGCAACTGAGAATTCACTGCAATTTTTCCTCGAGAAGATGAGGATCAGGTCAGGAATTGGAAATATCTGAGGGCTAAATTCAACCTGGCTTCTAAAATGAACATAGTGAACATAGATCAACTACCGAACTTCTTTTAACCTCTGGCATCCTATCTGTGAATTGCAGGTGATAACCCTTCCCCAAATGAGCAAATACAGTTTAGTCATATTACAAAAGCCCCATAGCAACCACATGGAGGTTTAATATTTAAACAGAATTGCAGGACTCTGTGACTGAAGCAAAAAGGGCTTTTATTCCATCCCTCTTTCTTCTTTTTTCAGATTCTGAAAGGGAATTACATGTGTCCATTTTTTTCCAGGGCTGAATGATCCTTACCATGTCCATTGATTTACATAATTGCCCAAGTACCTTAGATTCCCATATATTGCTTTTCTGTTATGCATTTTCTCATCTCTGATGGGAATTCAGCTTTCTGCTTTAAACTTCTGTACATGGGGATTCTTCAGGGAAAATATCATTTTAGGTGTTTACATTAAAGAAGTCCAAGAAGGGAGAAAACCACTCAGTCCATTTTTCTCTGCAGAATCTGGCTGTCCATTAGCTGATGTGGCTGTGGTGTGAGGAGAGAGAGGAGACTTGGAGGGGCCTGGGGAAGACCTCTCATCCGTGAGAAAGCTCATAGGCTTTGGTGCCAGAAAGACCTGGTTCAAATCCTGGCTCTGCTGCACACCAATGAGATGACCTTGGTTGAGAAAGGCAGTCTCATGCATGTGGTCTTTTAACCTCTGCTCAGCCCCATACAAATGGCCTTGAGCCAAAAACACTTGCTTACCAAGAGATAAAGAGCTGTCATAGCTTGTGTTGGGCTTATCGCCTTGTGTGGGAATATGTTTTTCCTGTTCCAGACTCAGTGTGTACTCTTTTGTTCTGCTTAAGCTTGTGCGTCATGTGGCAGGCACCTGGCCAACCCCGCTGTTATATCTGTTCCAGGTGGGGAGGAAACAGGGTCCACCCCCTGCTGCACAAGAGGGAGGCATGCAGACCATCACCTTATGTCTGCTGTAGGAAGAGACCCCTGGCCATGAGGGACTGAACCTGCGATTGCAGCTGATCTTGCTCTGTCTCTTCTCTGTGTGAGTAAAGTGTTGTTCCATCTAGTGCCTGCATGAGCCGTGTCTTTCGTGACGACACCTATAAACCATGGAGTGGGCTGGCATCCTGGTTCTGCTGCTCCTGTTGGCGGGCATTGTTGTGCTGTTTGCCATCCTCCACACATTGCGACTTCTCTACCCTGCCCGAGTCTCGGCATCTTCACATGCGCCATGAGGATGGTAATGCTTTACAGAACTGAAGGCTAACTGAAGCAGTGTACGTAAAGAGCCCAGCATGGCCCTGGAGTGCAGGGTAGTTATTATTATCCTCAGCATCACCAGTATTATTACCAATGCATGGTAGTTATTATTATCCTCAGCATCACCAGTATTATTACTAATGCCTAGGACTTGTCCACAAAAATCACTAGGAAAATTTCCTTCTGTGAACTAGACTCACGTCAAGATGCTGCCTGCTTCCATGAGGCTTGTAGTGACATCCATGTACAAGTTCAAAGACCCTCTGAGCCAATTTCCACTTCTCTGCATGTCTCTGGGAACCTAGGGGACCAGGATTACTATAAAAGCAGGTAAGGCCAGTATTAAAAACCAGGTTCACTCCAGTCCCCTTCACATCAATGCAACAAGACACAACTCTGTAAAACACCATGCAACTCTGTCTCCGTTAACAAGTATCAACCCCTTCAAAGGATACCTACCCATGACTGTCTAAGTCTGCGGCACTTTAGCTCTTGATATAAATCACGTGCATTCTGATTTTATTTCATTGCAAAATGCCAAAGATCTTCCATGCTGAAGCTGTACTTTTCTCTTTACCCCTCTTTGTGGGGGACCAGGGTAAGTTTAGATTTTTGGCACCAGGCTTTCTGCCCTCAACTCCATGGAGCATGGCATTTCTGACAATGCTGGAGATGGCTGCATGTCATGTGTCACTAGCATGGGATAGCAGGGACGGGGAGTGGTGGAGACCGCTCCTTTCTGAGCACCAAGGTAGTTGGATTCCCCAGAGCAATAGCCAGCCCAGCCACCCTAGAAGTCCCCTGACCTAGTTGGAGGGTTAAAGAGTTACTGCACTTTGGGCCATCTCTAAGGTCTTGGGGAGCCCACCTCCTAGGCAGCTCTCTTGCATTCCAGAAATAACCCATAGGAGCAACTCTGGACAAAAGGGGGACACTCAGCCGTGGGCAGCTGAGGTGGAGCTCCTGAGTGCTCTCTCCACTCAGTGGGGCTTGCTCCATAAGGGGTCTTCCTCATGGTTGTACCTGTCACCTGTCCCCCAGCCCAGGCTCCTGGGTCACCACAAAAGCAGGTAGCTGAGTCACCAAGCCCAGGCTATACCTTTCCTGCTACCCATATCTCCTGTTCATTCTGTCCCCAAGTCTCCCTCTTGCCTATGGACCTCCCAACTACAGCTGCCTTTTATTGGGCATTTGCTGTATACCTCCAGTGAAGTGCTTTACCTAAGTGAGTGCCAGCCTTGAACACTGTGAGGCCAACAGAAGCTCAGAAAGGTTAAGTAACTTACCTGGGATTATCCAGCCAGAACATGGGGAGCCAACAACCTTCCTAGCTCTGCCTAGCTTTGCCACTAGCCAGGCCGTCACAGTGTCACGTGGAGCTGCCTCCCCTATCCTGTTGGCAGTGCTGGGCATCGTGGAGTTCCTAGCTGGCTCAGGGGACTGTAATCCTACAGCCCAGTGGGGAGGGGGGGGGAGTTTGCTATAACTCCCTCTCCAGATTTTAAAATAGTTATTCAGTCTAAAAACAGACTAAGTGGTGCTGGTTGGAGGTGGGGGTGGGGAAGTATTGCAACCTAGATTATAAAGAGGATGGAAAGAGTGAAATGGAGAGGAAAAAGGACAAGAAACTCCAGCAAATGCCAGGGACTACTGATGGAGAGAAATAACGTGGCTAATTACATCTCTGAAGACCATCAATTCCAAAACAAATTTTTAATGAAAAAATAATGCATTTTCCCTGCAACTTAAATCTGGGAGTGAACGGAAAGAGCAGAGTCTCCCAGTGGGCACTAGAGTAGAGTAGCTGTGCATGTGCAGGGGTGCCTCTGACCATCTCACCTTGATGAGTTGCTTCACCAGCATCCTCATCCTGAGGGTGACCACACAGCAGTCTTCCCAGGGAAGCTACAGGAGTGAGCCAAGGGAACCTCACACACCAAGCATCTGGGCTCCAGGACACCGGGTGCAGACCAAGGTCTGTAAAGCCAATTCCCTCCCCCACCAAAGCTCGCGATGTTTCTCTCCATCAGTTCCAGGAGGCCTTCTCTGGTTATTTTCCTCCGCCCACCTCTCCTTTCCATTCTCTCCATCCGGGAGTTCCAGATCTTAAATCTATGGGTGTAAAGTTGAGGTCCTTCTGCGAAATGAAGGCTCACCTCTAACAAGCCAAACAGATCTGTTTGGTAAGTGTGATTTTTTTGGAGAAGAGGAGCTCCTCCAC